TCTAATATCAAATTTGATAGCTTGGGCGTGTTATATAGTTCGAGAAATTTTTTTTTCAAATTTAAGCTTGGTCAACGAAATAAATACAACCATCTAATTTCACATCCAATCGCTAAGATTAATTGTGACTACCTTGTACCAAACAAAAATGGTCTCATTGTATGCTTTTCCTTATTTAAAATCTCAAGAAGTACAATTGTGACCACCTTATACCAAACAAAAATGGTCTCATTGTATGCTTTTCCTTATTAAAAACCTCAAGAACTACAAGCACCTCCAAAGTTGTATCAAATTTGGCAAGACCATCCGCCGTCGAATTGGCATGTAGATAGAGATGGAAAATATGACGGTTATACTCACACGTAAGTCCATTACCTCCGCTCATATTGGCAGCAGTCTCCATGGAAGCTTACTACACTTCTTGCACCAATTTATGGCATTTAGCAAATCACCTTCCACCCTTTCCCTTACCAGCTTTAGACCTTGCAATACAACATGAAATTCAGCCTCATTTGATGTCGTACTGCCACGAGGATTTTTTATGATTTATGGAAACAAAATTAATAGGTTAAATTATTAACCGGTTTTATCAGGTGTATTTTAAGGGATTGTATATTTTGAGACTCGTTTGCTTTTTGTATAAGGAGATCATAATCATTTTCAGCTATTGAATGTGAAATCTAATGGATTGAAATATGTCCCAATATTCGAGAAGTTTTATTTTTGATATTGTGCCCAATCAATGATACATCCTCGACCACCCAATTTCACACCCAACACCTCTATAAAAAATAAATGGTCTCATTGTATATATTTCTCTATTTTAGTAAACAAAATAGATCTATTTTAATGAGAAAAAAGTTCGTTGAACGTGGCAATGTCATGTTGGAAACAAACTTGTAGTAATGTACATTGTCTATTTTAATTGCATAGTATTGATTGTGCACTTATTTAAAGGATAAATTTTATATAATCCAACAACTGTCTTGTAGAAGTAAGGTGTATCTTAAAAATTCCGTCAAAAGATGCTTGAAAAGCATTTCAATTGATTATTTCAACATCAAGATACATAAATATATTAAAAAAAAAAAAATCAAGTTTTTAAAATAATGTATTTTATAACAAATTATTTATATTATCTATTTTAAAAATTTTCAAGTGCTTATAGATCTGCTCAATCTGCACAAGTTGAAAAAATAAATAAATTTCACAATTATGTTTAATATATATTTTCAAGCCATCTTAAGGTTTCTGATACTGGTTGTCAGGAACTATATCTTCCTGTAAAATTTAAACATATGAATTAGTAATATAGTTTAAGATGGGTACGTTATACAAACCCGTGTTAGATTACACGACTCGGGCCAGTTACCCGGCCATGAACCGGTTCTAGGTAACCCAGAGCTAGATGGGTAGGTCTCAATGAGGGCAAATAATTGTTAAGAAAATAAAAAAAATACCAAAACAAACAAAAAAATATGACAATTATGTTTAAAGTAAATTAAATAAAGCGCATCTAAATGAGGTTAAAAAATTAGTAAATAAATAGATTTTGAAAAATCAATTTATGAACATCTTTACCAAAATATTAGAAAATATAAAAAAACACATAACAAATTAATTTCATGTTTTTCTAGATTTTTAATAAATTTTTGCCAACAATTTATTAAAACGTAACCCGACCGACCAAAACATAACCTTAAAACGTAACCCGACCGACCAAAACGTAACCCGACCGCTTTTGCGAACATCGATACAAACCTTTATTTTAAAGAAATGGATTTATTGACATTAGTTTAAAATACATGCTACATCGACAATACCGAGCTAAAATGGTAGATGTAGATTACTAAAAGGGTGGGGCATCAAAACTGATTCTGGCATGTGCTTTGATATGCTACTTAAAATTTGATAAAAAATAATAGATCGCCTATTTAAAATACGTCAAGAAAGACGGCGAGATGTTAAATAATTCAAACATAAGGTGCGTTTAATATCTTAAATTTAGAATGATTGGAGGACACCAACCATCCATAACGTAAAGTGGAAATATTATTAACAAAAATCTAGTGTAATCAATACTTTGTCGTCAGTTATATCAAAAAAAAAAAATGCTGATTTGTACGTGGAAATTGAATTATTATTTCTAGTTGCCATGAAGTAATTGGGGTCATTGAGTACGTCCACAACCATTTGAAATAGCAAAATAAAGAAAGCAATCGCGTAGTTTATTTTTTCAATTAATTAGAGTTGGTTGCATTTTTTTACATAAAATAAAATAGTTTGAGCTTTACACGTGTTAGCATATCAAATGGCAATTAAAGCTACCATTAAAATCTGGATTTTCTATAGGGGCAATCAAAGGGACAATTAAAAATGGGCCCTCACATATAATGCCTTCTCAACATCACCAAAGAGTAGTTTAGTGGAGCATCCTCACCAGCCCTTAATAATTGATTAACGCATCATCACTCATATGTCTTAAGTGAAAGATTCCCAAACGTCCAAAGGGAACAAAAGGGATTGTATTTAATAAGTTCATTTACTTTAGACACAAGGATGTTACATTTACTGTAACTATTGGACGTGAAATTCGATAGCTTGAAATATGTCACAACATTCGTAAAATTTTATTTGGAAGTTGTTTTTAGTCAATGACGTATCCTAATTGTTTGATTTTACATCTGAGGGCTAATAATGATTGTGATCTCTTTATATAAAAAATAAATTGTCTCATAATATACATTTTTGAAACAAAAATATTGCTTTCAAACTTAATAGATGAGAGATCAAAGAGCATCTAGACCGTCTAAAAAAAATTAGCACGTGTAACTTCTAAACCGTAAACGGGCCATAACAATCACCATCTAATTTTTATGTCAAATTTTGGGGCACCTCTCACATGGTTGGAAGGCACTAGCATTTTGTAGGGGTGGAAATCTATGTTGGGGTTCAGGTCCAAGTTTTGTATATGGTGAATTGGGTTTGGGTCCAAAACCCTGGAGTTGAGTCGGATTAGAGTTTGATTTGGATCTAGGTTGACCTACCCAGACCCGACCCAAACATATCAATATATATACACACATACATACATATATTAATACATACATTGTGTGTGTATGTATTTATTTATAAACACATATATAATATGCTCTTTTGGGAGCATAGTTTACGCCTCCTCCTTTAGTCAGATGACTATTTTACATCTAAAATTTTTCTAGATGATTACCCCCCGACCCCCCTATTACCCCCCTGCCCAACAGAACTGCCCACAGAAAGAAAGAAAGAAGACATTTGAGTATTCTAATACCTAGATCTCACCCTAAAAAAATTGGACAGTTTCTATTCAATCTTGGGAAATTATTTCTTTCAAGTGCTTAGAGGGTGCAATTGGGATTTTTATTGAGGTTAGTCTATGAGTTAAAGAGGCCAAAGAGATTATATCCCCAAAATTTGGGGTCCTAAACCTAATTACAAAGGTTAATTATAGAATGAGCTGTGAATGGTGGATTTATTAAGTTTGTGACTTATTTTATAAAAAAAAGTTACTTCATTAAGTAAATGTAATTTTATAAATATCACAACAAGACAATGGGTACTTCTGTTATCTTCATGAGAGGTAAAACTGAAATTTTGACTAAAAGATAATGACACTCTACAAATAAAGTTTCAAAACACTAACTTCCAAAATGTTATTATACTTTTATAAAAATTTCAAATTTGCTATTGTTTAATAGTAAAGTTACCTATTAAAATAATTTTTTAATAAAAAAAATAAAGATCATTTTGATAAATACAATTGTCACAACCCCTTCTATCATTAACTTTTGTATATATATATATATATATAACAACCCCTCAAACTACAAAGGTTCAAGTTATAAGGGGCTGTGATGGGTGTATTTATCAAATCAATTATTACTTTTTTATAAAAAAATTATTTAAATAGATAACTTTACCATCAAGCAATGATAAATTTAAAATTTTCACAAATGTATAATGGCATTTAGGAAGTTAGTATTCTGGAACTTTATTTGTATAGTGCCCTGGTCTTTTAATTAAAATTTCAACTTTACCCCTTACGGAGGTGACAAAAGTAACCTTTGTCTTGTAGTGATATTTACAAATTTGCCCCACAAAAGAAACGTTTTTAAAAAATTGACTACAAAATTAATAAATCCACAATTCACAACTCTCTCTATCTTAAACCTTTGTAATTTGAAAGGTATATATATATATATATATATATATATATATATATACAACACACACTACTATACTATATTATAGTATAGTACATAGACTACTTACTAACGAAACCTAACTTAGTTTAGTTAGGTTAGTTTAGTTACGTTACGTACCTTA